CATCCAGATGTGTGCAGTGGTGGGAAGGACGAGCTCTCTGACCTAGAAGCTCCTGGAGTGACAGGGTGATGTTCATCGGAACCCCAGCAACCCCCTGTGTCATTTACCATCTTGTGACCAGTGGGAGCCGGGTGGAGGTGGCCGGGAACTGTAACTGTTACAGACGCTGGTCATAAACCCAAGGCCGCCTCCCTTGGTGCCTGCACTTGACCCTGCGGTTGTTTCCTGCACTGGGGTTCCCGGAAGCCCCACCGCTGGACCTGTGCTGGTGGACAGGACCAGACTGCCCTCTGATGGCAGCAGTTTGAAAACTGGCACCAGCAGCTGCCATGGAAAAAAGTGATGGCCCAGGGGACTGTGTGACCCTCCCACGGAGGGATCAGGATCCCTGCAGGGCTCCCGGGCAGGGCTCAGAGCCCATCTGCTTCCTGCCCTTTCTCCTCTGCTGCTCTCCTCTGACTATGGGAGTCGGGGAAGCAAACAGTCATGAAAAATGGCACTTCTATTGGCTGTGTCTGTATGTGGAAGTGCACAAATGAAGGAAGATTTTAAAGCAGAACACAGAACAATTTGTGCTGTCTGATTAAAATCTGTCAGATATGTTCATTAACAAGTTTGGAAGAGAATTTGGAAATGGCTGAAATTTTTAATAAAGTTCATTCTTTTAGTTTGTTTGAATTTAAAAAGATACGTTTAGAAATAAATTTGGCCCATAAAAAAATTAAATCTTAGCTATCCAGAAATTCAAGTATCTAGAATAAGGTACTTCCCAAAGGTCTGTGTAACTCAGATTTTACTATAGCTTGAAAACTACTAATGTATAATGTAGCTGATGAAATAATACATATTCCCACAGAAAAGAGCAATAACTAATATATATAATAACATATATGATAATATAGCAATTGCAGCAATATATTAATTATATAACAATAATGTATCTATCAAAAATCGAACACCCATCATGAGTCAGGCACTGCGACAAGCACTTTATATTATCTCACAAGAATTCTCTCTGAGGCAGGTTTCACTGTCTTCAATTTAGAGGGTAATTAATAAGTAATACATAGAATTGAAGGAGAAACTATTTAGAACATGGAAGGCTGTCAAAAATAATGTGTTGAATGAAAAACTCAAGTTACGGAAGTACAGCACGTTTGTGGAAAGGTTTTTTTTGGCTGACGAAGATTGTCGCTGAGCTAACATCTGTGCCAGTCTTCCTCTATTTCGTATGTAGGCCACCACCACAGCATGGGTGATGAGTGGTGTGGGGTCCACATCCGGGGTCCAAACTGCAAACCCTGGGCAACCAAAGCAGAGCTTGTGGAACTTGACCACTGCACTGTGGGCCAGCCCCTAGAAAGTTTAAAACTTATAAAGTTAAACAGTGTTTACAGATACATACATATGTAGTAAAACTATAATGAAAGTCAAAGGAACAATCTATTTTTTCAACATCAAATGAGTGATTTTCCTGGGTGAGGAGGCAAAGGGTGGTGTTTCAGAAGGGCTGTGCGGACGGCTTTAAAGGTGGTGATGAAGCGTGACTTATTAAGAAGGTGATAGGTAAAGGGTGTTTATTTTATCTTTCTTTATACCATATGTATGATTTTGTATAAAATAGTTCATAATTTTTTTAATTTTACGCAGCTTTATTGACATAACACTCACATGTATTACCATTTGTTCATTTAAAGTGTACAGTTCAGTGGATTTTCGTATACTCGTGTGTGTGCAACCAACACCACAGTCGACGTTAGAACATTTTTGTCACCTCAGGAAGGAACCTTGCACCCTTTAGCTGTCACCTTCCCACGCCCCCGGCCCCGCCCTGAGCAACCACTCATCTATTTCTGTCTCTGTAGTTTCCCTGTACTGGGCATTTATATAAATGGAATCCTATGACACATGGGCTTCTGCGACTGGCTCCACTCACTCAGTGTAACGTCTTCAAGGTCCGTCCAAGTTGTGGCGTGTCAGCGCTTCATTCCTCTTTATGACCAACAACAGTTCAAAAAAATTTACCTTGAATGCTGGTGCTTGAGAAGTGGTTTAATCAGAAGGAAAGGAGGAGGCAGGAGACTCTGGATCCCTGAAGGACCATCACTGGAGGAGGCGGCAGGACTCTCATTCCAGAATGGGGCTGAATGTTCACAAAACAGAAACGAAGTTGTGGGGTGAATTACTGTTTCCCAAGTGAGTGTATGAAGCAGAGAGTGGAAGAAGAGTTATTTTACTCGGGAAAAGGGACAAAACTGATGAAAGAAAGGTACAGTGGTGGCAGGAAGAGGGAGGAGGTCTGCGTGGAACAGGATGGACGGGGAGCAGTGAAAGCAGAGTACGAAGGGTGAGCACAGCTTGGAGACGGACTCGGGAAGGGAGGAAGTGATGAGGTGAGAACATCAGGCCGTCAGTCTTCTGAATTTCCAGCTCCTGGAGTCACTGGCCCTGGGGCCTGTTACTGCCTCACAGGTGGGAGCCGGGCTGAGGGGATGAAGCTAATGCTCAGGGAGGAAGTCGGTGCACAGGCAGCATCAATGTGTGCTAGAAGTTCACAGCATGAGGCGTGGAAATTTAGGGAGGACCTGTGTCTGGCCTTCACACGCGTTTAAGCACCAATCACATGCATACACGTCTCTGAGCATGTCTGTGTAACTCAAGAGACGAAACTTTAGACAAGAGAAAGAGGAAATCAGTGCTTAGGGGGTGCCTGCTGTTTGCCAAGTAGCTTGTAACCAACATGGCCCTGAATCTGGCATCCTGTGTGCAATGGGTATCTGTACAAGTTAGCCATTGCTGCCTAACAACCCACCCCAAAATTTAGCTCACGGCTGCGCTGGTCAGCAGTTTAGGCTGAGCTCAGCTGGGCTCCTTCGCGTCTGTGTGGCCAGCTGCTGACAGGGGGATTCTGCTTCTGGGAGTGAGCTGGCTACTGACTGGGCATCTCAGTCCTCCTCCCCACAGCATCTCATCCTCCAGCAGGCTAACATGGGCTTGTTCTCATGGAGATGGCAGAATTCTGAAAGAAAAGGCAGAAGCATTCAAGACCTTTGGGCCCAGCCTGAAGCAGGCACATTGTCACACCCACTGCATTCCATTGGCCAGAGCAGATAAGGGCGGCCTGCATGCAGGGTTTGGGGAGCAGATTCTGCCTGTTGATGGGAGCAGCTGTAAAACCACATTGCAAAGGGCATGGATGCAGGAGGTGTGGAGAATGGCTGACGTTTTTGCAATCAGTGTTGTTATGCCTTTTCTTGCAGATGAGGTCTATATAGCTGTTCCGAGTCGAGTAACTCATCCAAAGCCCCACAGCTACTGAGGGGCTGCTCTGGGACGCAGCATCAACTCCACCCGACTCCAGAGCCACCCGCCACCAGAGCACCCTCCTCCTGCAGCCTCCCTCATCTCCCAGGCTCTGGGGAGGAGTGCTTCTGCAGTGGAAGCAGAGTTCCCTTGAGATTCACGTCCATCTAGCACTCTTCACCATTGGGAATTATCCCCTCGAGAGAATGCGGAGACATTTAGGAAAGATTTGGCATAGTTTAGGGAAATAGCAGAGGGCTGAGTTTAGGAAACCAAAGCCCAACATTATATATTTTTTATTTATAATCATGGGAGAAACTTGAAAACACATCTAATGCACTCCACATGTCTGCAAATTCTTTTCATCCCTTTAGGTATTTGTAGGCTATTCATGATTTTCAACACAGACTAAGTCAAACTACCGTGCCTGGAACAAGCTCTTACTCTGAGAGCAAGAGACGTAAAGACAGACCTGCGAGGAGACGTTTCCCCCTGCTGCCATTTAGCCAGACAGCTGAGTGAGTCTGAAGCAGTCCTTTGATATCAGCAAAGCTTGAGCTGGTGTCTAAGACCCCAACTGAGACGCTACAGTGGGGCCAGTCTCATAGCCCACACGTGGACTCACGCAGCTGGTGCCTCCCCAACCCCCAGTCAGTGGTTCTTGCCCCTGACTGCACATTAGAATCACTTG